ATTTAATTTTTAGAAGGTCCCAATCATCTGGCTTCTCTTCTGCTGTTGGTGCATTTTGAATTATGCTCCCTCAATCCATTTTGAGTTAATTTTCATATGTCATGTAAGCTGTGGGTTCAACTTCATTCTTTTATATGTGGAAATCCAGTTGTTTCAGCATTACTTATTGAAGAGACTCTTATTTCCCCATTGAGTAGACTTAGCACCCTTGTTGAAAATCAGTTGACTGTAAATAAATGTATGATTTATTTGTAGACTCTATTCTAATGGTCAGTATGTCTATCATTATACCAGTACCACATTGTTTATATGAGCTTTATAGTATGTTTTGAAATTGGGAAGAATGCGTCTTCCCAGGGGCTATCAAGCTCAGTTGACATAACATACTACACAAAAACATTGTTCCACATCCTACTTTGGCAAATAGCGACTGGGATCTTAAAAGTGTGCAAATGGCCACCTAAATGTAAGCATAGGTCTCCCCTTGTCTGCAGCAAGGAAGAATGAAGAAAACCAAAGACTCATGGAAACAATTAGTCCATGTGAATGGTACACCATGCAATCCTCAGCCTATATAACTATGAGACCTAAAGAACTAGATGGTGCCTAGCTACTGCTGTTAACAACTCGGAGCGGGATCTATGTAGGCGATCCTGGATAGAATGGAAGAACAATGTGGAACAAAACTCAAAATTATTAAAAAGAAAAAGAAGGAGCAGGTTTGCTGGTCTCATAGAGCCTGGTGGAACCACTGTCACCATGGCCCCTAGCAGCCCATCAGGTCTGGAATTAAACCCACTCCAGTGGCTTCCAGTCAAACAAAAGATAGGCATGTGAGCTGAACATTTACATTAGGTGGATACACTCATTGGAGAGATCTATCATGGGAGAATAGAAGGGCTGTGTATGTATACCTCAGGGTGTAGGAGTACGTGGGAGGGAAGGACACAGGGAAGAGGTAACTAACTATTGGGAGGAAGTGGGAGAGGAGCTGTTGCATTGTGGGAAATTGCAGTCAATGTCATGAGACAGAGTGTATGTGAAGTGCTGTACAGAAAGTGAATTTGCTGTGTAAACTTTCACCCAAGTCACAATAAAAATTAAAAAAAAAAAAGAATGTGTCTTCCTCTTTTGTTTTCCTTTTTCAAGATCACTTTGGTTGTTTGAGACCTCTTCTCATTCCATGTAAATTTAAGGTTTGGCTTTTCTGTTTCCTTAAAAAAGGCTATTGGAATTTTTATGGGGATTGTGTTGAATGTAGAGGTTGCTTTGAGTAGTATTAACAGCTTAATAATATTAATCTTCTAATCCATGAACATGAAATGTCTTCCCATTTATTTCGGTCTTCTTTAATTTCTTTCAACAATGTTTTATAGTTTCCAGTGTACAAACCTTCCACATCCCTGGTCAAATTTATTCCTAGGTATTTTATTATTTTAGGAACTTAACCTGTTCACTTTAATTAACATTAAATATAGTAAAATACAGTAAAACAAAAATATTTATTTACTGAGTTGCCTGTATGTTCTTCTTTGGTATTCTATTTTTAACTTCATCACCATGTGTGTCCTATCTTAGTTTTGTCCTAGTGCCCTAATGCTTGTCACTTTGTTGTGTGATAGATAAGACATCTGGTAGGATCACTGCCATCAACATAGTTTTCTTATGTCTCCTATTGTTTATCCTCATTAGGGTTGGGTTCTCTCTCAGACTATGGAGACTCACACAGATTTAAATGAAGTGAGAAATCATAAGGTTTTGACTTTTTATCACATTGGAAATATGTGGAGGCAGTGGAATCTGAGCTGAATAATGTTATTTTTATTTCTGCTTGTTCAGTTATCTTCTAAAATGAAAACAGCTCTTTACATACTTATCAGCCATGCAGGTTGTGAAGATAAATTCTTATTGTTAGTTGCCATCAAGTTGACTTTGACTCACAGTGACCCTGTGTATAAGAATATCATAGAATGAAACGTTGGCTCATCCACGTCATCTTCAAGATTGTTGGTATGTTTGAGACCACAGTCCACCTCATTGAGGCTTTCCCTTGCCTTCTGCTTCACCACACTTGGTGTCCTTCTTCAGCAATCTGTTCCTGCTGCTGATGGAACCAAAGTAAGTGAGTTGAAGACTCAGGCAATGTTTTGTGATCCCTAGGGTTTTCATTGGCTAATTTTTGAAAGTAGATCATCAGGCCTATCTACCTGGTCTGTCTTAGTCTGGGAGCTCCATTGAAACCTGTCACCATGAGTGACCCTGCTAGTATTTGAACTTGACCGGTGGCATAGCTTACAGCATCATAGTTACATGTAGGCCACCACAGTACAAACTGACAGATGAGTGGTGGGAAAATAAATTAGGTTGGTTAAAACCAGCATTTATTGTGTGCCTATTATATTGTGAATATAGAGAGCATAGAGGATGGTTTTGCTTATGAGTAGTCTCCAGAATCTAGCAGTGTAGCAGTTATTTTACGTTAATTTTAATAAAACATGATGAACACTGAATTAGAAGTAGCTAACTTACGCTGTTGAAGTGTACAGGTTGAAGCATCGTGTTCTTTGAGGGGTTATCCAGGTGGGCTATTTCATAAAGGAGCTAATAGGCCCAAGACTTGAAGGATGAGCAGAAGTTCACCAACTGAATGGGTACTTTAAGTTCTTGGGTAGAGATAATCCATGAAAATAAAATGGAATCAGTCTGTGCCAGAATGTAGCTCCAGTGAAGGGAGAAACCAGCAAGTTGTTGTCAGGTGCTGTTAAGTCAGCTCCAGCTCAGTGACCTGTGTATAACAGAACGAAACCATGCCTGGTGCTGTGCCATCCTCACAGTCTTTGCTATGCTGAAGCCCGTTGTCACAGCCACTGTCAATCCATCTCACTGCAGGTCTTCAAAGCAGCAAGGACAGGGCTTTATTTCCTTGATACTGTGGCCCAAAATCGCCATGAAGTCTTTAGACAGCAGCGCCCCCAGGCAGCATGCTGTGGCATAATGATTAAGAGTGGGTTTTGCAATTAGGCCGCCTAGGTTCAAATTTCAGGTCTGCAATTTACCATTGCACATAGCTGTCTGGGAACTTGAACCAGTTACTTAACCATTTTGAACCATGGCGTGGTATCTATCATATAGAAATGAAGGTTAAATGAGATGAAATATGTAAAGTTTTGATAACAATACTTGGTACACATTAAGTGCTCAATAAAGGTTTACTAAGGTTAAAGCATTGGGCTGCTAACTAAAAGGTTGGTGGTTCAAACCCACCAGCCGCTCCTCAGAAGAAAAATATGGCAGTGTGCTTCCATAAAGATGTATAGCCTTGGAAAGTCTCTGGGACTCTGTCGTATCAGGTTGCTATGAGTCAGAATCAACTCCGTGGCAGTGGGTTTTTTGTTTGAAAGAGTCCTGGTGGTGCAGTGGTTAAGTGCTTGGCTGCTAACTGAAAGGCTGGCAGTTTGAACCCACCAGCTGCTCTGCGTGAGAAAGAGGTGGCAGTCTGTTGTTGTAGAGATTACAGGCTTTTGTATAAAATGACAAAATGAAAAAGAAATTCATAATTATTCATAATTTTCATTTCAGTTGAAATAGTTCACCGAGAGCAGTGAGGCATAGATCAGAAAAGCAGCATAGCATAACTAAAGCTGTTTACCAAGAGATTGGAAAGGATCACCTGGTACTCTAAGCTTTTTCTAAGAAAGGCCAGATATGGATATTAATTGAATTTTAATGCTTTCTCGTAAACATTGACCTGGTGAGCTTTTTCAGATGACTAGCTTTCTAATCTGCTTTGACATTTCTTCAAGGGTGCTGCAAACAGTGATAGGTTTAAAAATATGTATAATTTGTTTTAGTGAAGAAGGTTTGGAAATATTCTGTAGAATTCTGTAAAAGTAGGATGGTGTCTTACCTGTAAGGAGTAAGCCTGGAGGGACAGGCAAGATGGCCTTTCCATTTCTCAGACACCAGGTTGACATTTGTTGGACTTCATTTGATGTTTCAACAAAGTAAATTAGTTATTCTAACTGACTTTCATTGTTATAAAGAGATAAAATGTCATATTGACCTTGATGCTCTTTTGCTTTCTCAATGACCCTTTAAAATATTTTCAGGTTTATAGTGTTGATTGGAGCCAAACCAGAGGTGAACAACTTGTGGTGTCTGGCTCATGGGATCAAACTGTCAAACTGGTATGTCACCTTATTGTTTTTAAAAGCAATTCACTCTTCCCCAAAGCTTCTACTGAATTATTTTCCAAAACATATTCCTGTAGCTTTCCAATTGAACAGCTAATTCTTCTCTTAAAAATATTTATACTAATTTCTTCAATGATTGTATATGTA